CCTCCAGCCGAGTCTGACCGCGGCGAACCGTGATTCTTTTTGTTGTGCTTGTTGTCCAGCTTTGAATGTTCCTGTACTCCAGGATTCCGTGCACCGGCAATCAGTCCACAGTTCTGTGTTGGTGAGTTTACTTGCTTGAAGCATTACCGGAGAGTTCAAGTTCAGGAACAAAAACTTTAGAATCGGGGTTGAATTTCTGGCGGCCTTTTGCAGGCGTTCTCAAGATTATAGCACTAATGGCATGTTAACAACTTTCTCATTCTTTCTCTCCCCCCCCCCCCCCCCCCAGCCACACACTCTCCTTCTTTCTCACATGCACTCCCCTCTCTCCTCCCCCCCCCCCCACACACTCTCTCTCTCTCTCTCTCCCTCCCCCCCCCCCCCCCACACACTCTCATTCTGTCAAAAAGAAGATTGAAAGAACCGTATAATTATAATGTATAATTATATCCTAGTTTGTAACCGCTTTCCCCTCTTTCTGACTTGTTTCGTCTCCTTGCAGACATTGACGAATGTCAGGAAGAGCAGGACCTCTGCAACATGACCTGTAGTAATACTGTGGGATCATACGTGTGTTCGTGTCAGCAAGGTTATCGCCTCATGGACGACCAGTCTGCGTGCAGTGGTAGGTTTGTGTGTGCGGTCTACCATGGAACTAGCAAAGCGGTTCAGTGGGGTTGCTAGGACATTTTGAAACTCTCCGTCTGATAGAATCATTTGGGCGGCGAGGTTATCATCTCATGGATCACCGTCATCCGGTTGCCATTGTATTAGCGAATGTTCGATTGGTTTGATCCGGATCCCGGTCGATTGTCTGAATTATTCGGATCCTCCCAGGTCCAATCGAGCAAATGTGGAGTTTCCTGCCAAAAAGGATGATTTGGCAGAAAGGATCTGTTGGATTTGGTCAACCCTGCTCCCCGAGGTGGGTTGGCCAGATCCAAATCAATCAGAACCGATTCCGGATTCGACCAATCGAAAGAGTGCAGCCGATCCGGTTGATCTACTGTTAAAGCAGAAATTTTCGGTGGTGTTTTATTTTTGGTAACTCCGGTGCCGAAATGTTTAACTTAAATAAAATGCACCGAAAATTCCGGTACTAGTACACTTACCTGGAAAACGGGTCCACCTAAAATTTCCCTCCACCGAACCGCCGATTTTGGAGAATCCCGAAACATTACACCACCGAAAATTTCTGCTTTTACCGTGGGTCCGGATCCTACCCATCAAACATGCCTTTCTTTTGTTTCCTGTACAGATATTGATGAATGTGGTGATGGTACGGCCGGTTGCGGACAGAATTGCCAGAATACGATGGGCGGGTGCGTAACAATGTATCTCGCATGTGTGTGTGTGTGTGTGTGTGTGTGTGTGTGTGTGTGTGTGTGTATGTGTGTGTGTGTGTGTGCGTGTGCGTGTGCGTGTGCGTGTGTGTGTGTGACTAGTCTACTTTCCAATACATATCACCGTTGGCTTCCCATTCCCATGTCGCCGTCATTATTTACACTCCTTCCGCATGTATGCATGCTCTGTATGGCGATCCCCAAATTAATTATTTATAATTTCACGTATCATGAACAGCTAGTACTCTCTACAAACTATCCACCTTTAGGAACTTACTTCATTTGCCATCCAACTACACATCCTTATTCTACCTCTTACACCGCACTCCAAATACAGCAGGGAGTCGAATACAACTCCCTACATTTTATCCTGAAAATAAGAAGCTGGCCACGACGAGGGTTTCCCCTCAATTCATGGCTAGTCCAGAAGGAGCGAGTTTGATTTGTAGCGTCGAGTGGAGCTAGTATGCTTTCTGTTACATCGTAGTCTAGGTCGTTCATGTAGCAAACCTACACAATGTTCTTTCCTGCTTGAGGGATATCCACCGAGGGAAGTGCAATGTTTTGCAGCAAGTCTGATTGTGATTCTGTGTGTACACATCCTCTCTGCTCACACGCACACAGGTATGTGTGTAGCTGTCGCAGTGGCTACACAATGATGAATGACAGTCATCTGTGTGAAGGTGAGTGAATGGTGTGTTCTGTGCTCAACGTTGAGCCCTCTACGGACGCTGGATGAACTTCGCATAGTGTGTTCAGTGTTAATGTATGGTAGAGCACAGTCCGCAAGCGTTTCGGAGACAGTAGTTTTAATATACAGTGAAACCTGTCTAAGACCACCGCTCAAGGGACCTTGAAAACGTGGTCTCTGTTGCCAGGTGGTCTCCTTATCCAGGGTCATTTGATTGGAAATAGCATCCCTTGGTCCTTGGTTGCAGTGGTCTTCAGGGACAGGTGGTCGCCTTATCCGAGTGGTCGCCTTGCCAGGTTTTACTGAAGGTACAAGGGACGACTAATTGCACTAATTTCGTTGTGTGCCTTGCGATCATCGTATAACAGTTTACACATACACGTAGACATTTAGGAAATGCTTACAGTGCAATCAGTCGTCCTTGTAGCTATATTAAAGCACAGTCCTAGGCAGTGTGCAGTGCACA